TACCTTTTAACGTGTGATCCCAAACACATGCTTCAGTCATCTGGAATCCACATACCGTTGTTCATTCAGAAATGATTGAGAAGGTACAAAAAAAGTTCATGAGGAGTCTTTATTACAGGAAATATCGAGTATCCACTTTGATGATTTCATACAAAACTCAACTATCAGAATTGAATCAAAACACACTACAGCTCCGGAGGAATATCGCGGATGTGCTGTTTGTATCAGACATATAGGATAAGCTGAATGTACCTGATTTACTCTTTGCAATAAAACAATAAAACTACATGTACCTGAAGTAAGATTACGCAAGCGAAATTATATTTTTTATATAGATTTGTCATCCTGCTCACCTTTTGTAAGATGCCAGAAATCTGTAAATGAGCATATTAACTGCTGGGATACTGACATTTTCATTTCTAGTAGTAGCAGAATGAAAAGCACTGTTGCTAATTATTAATTATTATCTACTTAATTGTATATTTTCCACTTTTTGAAATAATTAACGTGACCATGTTAGTGGACTGTGTTGTGAATCTTTCTCTGTTTTTAATTTTTTTAGGTAATTTCGGAAGTAATTTCAAGTGTGTACTGTATGTCTACTGTATGTGATAAAACTGTTATTCTGTAATTGGGCTGAAGCCTGTTGTTTTAGCAGTATAAATAAATGAAATGAAATAAATGAAACGCAATGACCCCTTGGATAATTTGGGAATGTTGATGGGGTCGATCTGTAGAATAGAAGGTTGACAGGTGGTTGAGAAGGTTCACGCAAAAATATAGATTCTCGAAAATATCAATGGACCTGTCTACGGACCTTTCAAAGAATATATCTATTATAGGAATACGTTTTTTCTTTGTATATTGCTACTTCAAATTTGGAAACCAACTCCCCAGAAGTCGAAACTTGTGCGGGGTTAGGAAGAGCGGGACCTACAGCTTATAGTGGAATCCGAACCACTTCTAGGGCATCGAGGTGCTGCCAGGATTACAACCATGATTCACACATTTTAAAGAAAAATGCTCAGCTGATAGCCGGATTCGAACCGACAGTACCTCTGCATCGTGAACGGCTATCTGGCGAATTTCAGCGCATAGACAAACTCGGCCACGGAGCCCATCATAAGTTTCCATGTACTGTCTTAGGACTTGGAGTTGATATCGATTATACAGTTGTAACTGTTACATGTCATTCGCGGATATGGAAAAACCTTATTCAGAAAGAATAGACCGCTCTTTATAGTATAGTTATTTGGGATAATTCCTTCAACAAGGTGTACCATGACCATTTGATCAACTTTGAAATGTAGATGGGGTCGATCTGTATGATAGGAGGTTGACAGGTGGTTGAGGAGGTTCACGCAAAAAAATTGATTCTCGAAAATATTATTCGACCTCTCCAAGGAACTTTCAAATTATATTATTTCTGTTATGTGAATACAGTTTTCATTCCATCATAGTTTTCCATTCTGTATATATTTCACTCAAGACATAATTATTATCATTATCATCATCATCATTACCGGAACGTTTCGATACTAACTCGTTGCAGACACGTCGTACATGTCACAGCATAATTTTTCTTTCCAAACTCCTCAACAGCAAACCAGATTCTCCCCACTTACTCTCTTTACTGAATATTCATCTACCTAGAGGGTCTGCACGATCGTATAACATGTTTCATTTGCCAGCACCTAATACAAATTCACATCAAATTTGTGTTAACTATATGAGATACCAGAATGAGATATACATTTTCTACACATCATTAGGCGAAATTAAGAAAGTGATTTTGTCATAACTCACTTCTGTTTTCATCTATTCATGCAACTCTGCATGTGAACTTTGTTTTCTTAACATGTTTTTTTTTTCAGTTCACATGCATAGTTGTTGCATGTAAGTCTCACCAATGTTTCTTGTTCTCTTTTTTGTACTATTTTAATCATTGTATTGTAATTTGTGCTCACTGTATTTTCTTCACCTTGCTTAAGGCATCAGCTGTCAGGGTGGCGTTAACCTAAATAAATAAATTAATAAATATGAATATACAAAAAAAAACAAATGAACAACTATTGATTTACTTGGTAGGTATATAGGAACTTGTATCGAGAAATATGCGTTCCATCAGATTTTTTTTTCACTTGAAGAGCATAATTTTATCATTTCCATGGATGGACTGATAATCAAATTGTCTTTCTTCTTGTCCCGTTTTTTTATGCAATTACGTCTAATTGCAAAAAAGACTCAACACTCTAGAATATTGCGAAGCGAGAGAGGATGATTCATTAAGCAGAAAAATGTTTGAGGAAGGATGAATCTGCAAGACAAATTCGGTGGCGTTTGAAAATTATCACTTCACCATCTTGAGTAGAGTAGAATCATACTTTTAAAAAATATTGTAGCTTGGATGAATGGATTTTTCATTCAACTATGATATAGGGTATCATACGCACTAGTGCGGCAAAGTAAATTCATTCTCTGTCCTCTGATGTTTTACCCAAACCAAATAACGACTTTCATCTGTGTAGTGATCGAAGTGGGGTAGAAGAAGTTGAAAATGGGAACATCATTCTCAAGGGGCAGTAATGTTCAGACTTTTTTTTTATCGCTTGGAGCGCACGAAAGGCGAAAATATCCTATACCTATACCTTATTTTCGTATCCATCCCGGAGACGCACGATATGCCACGAACACAAAAGAGATTTTTTCGAGTGCGATCTAGATTTATTTACGCTAAGAGACCAAATGTCAGGTTGGTCCAGGTTTTCCCAAGTTTTAATCACCACTCTCTGCCGTTCGTTTCCCAAATTATTCAAGGCACGTTCCTTATGTAATCTTGTCCCAAAAATGACCCAGAGATTCTCAATGAGATTCAAATCCGGGCTCCAAGCTGGCCTTGGCATGGTAGCGATACAGACTTCCTCTAGATAATTTTCCACAACTAGGACGACGTGAGGTCTGGCATTATCTTGCATCAACAATAGTTATCTATATACCAAGGTAGTAAAGAATATCAGTACCACCCAGGGATCAAGATTATATCCCGAGGCTCCCACCGAGGAGTATGAGGTCCCGTGGTGGTAATATTTTTTTTTTCACTTGGAGCGCACGAAAGGAAATCCCTATAATGTTCAAAGAATATCGTGCGTTCCTAGGGAGGATAGGAACAAGAGGTAGGTATTGGATTTTTTTTAACTTGTTGGGAATTTTTCCTCAAGCAATGAATTCCAGAGCCTAGCCGTTCTATGGATGAAGGAGTTTTGATAAATTGCTGTTCGACATCTTTCGAGGTTGACAACGGAAGGATGTGCTGACTGGGCTTGTCCAGTTCGTCCGACTGGTATTGCTAGTGAAGGGATGATAGCAGAGATTTCCGAAGAACGTATCCATAGAGAAGTGAAAGGTCGCCGACCTTTCTACGGTGTTCCAATGATGTCAAAGAGTGAGTGAGTGTGGCGTCGCCCACCAGGCGAATGGCTCTTCTCTGGATAGAATCTGAGAGCATCAGCGTATGTTTTGGTGCTGAACCCCATATGTGGGAACAGTATTCTGGAACAGGCCGTATCTGCGCTTTGTAGATCATGATAAGCTGTTGAGGAGTAAAGTAGCATTTCACACGGAACAAGAATCCGAGTTTTTGTGAAGCAGCTTTTGCGATGGATCTGACATGATTATCCCATGAAAGAGTGTGGCTGATGAAAATACCGAGTATAGATATGGTGAGCTTGGTGGGGATGGTGGTGCCAGATATTACAATATCGGGAATACTGAGTTCCGCCTTTCTAGAGAAAATACAGGCTTGAGTTTTGGTGGCGTTGACGTATTTGTTCTTTTTCTTACTACCTTGGATCATTTGTTGAAAATCTTGCAAAAAATTTACACGGTGGTGTATGTAAATAAGGGTACACGAATCACGAAAAGAAAAATCCTCATTTCTTCTGAAAGCTACAACTCTTGTGAATTTTGAAGCAGCAAAAAAACTATACGAATCAAATAAATATATATACACCGTGTTTCGTATCTCTGAAATTTTCAGAAGAACTGTAAACCACGTCACTTCTTCGAAAAAAAAATAGTCACCCTGTAAGAAGGGTTCACGAGCTGCTGCTAGCTTATATTATGTCCTTACATATATAAGGTATCCGTTTACGATTGAACTAAATGACATCTTCCAGGATTTGAATGATTATCATTTGGATTCCATCTTTTTGATATAATCTTGTATTATTTCAAATCTATAAGGTAACCATTTCGTAACAAAAAGAGTGATTCGAACAGGTGACCTGTTTCACGTAGAGAACGTTGACTTTTCAAGTTCATCAGGAGGCATTTCGTGGTTAAAATGTTTCATTCAGCAGTTTTAGGAAGTTTTTGAATAGATACTTGTATAATTCGATGTTTCTCGGTCTAATTTTTTCAATGTCATTATTATTTTTTTGGATAGCTTCTTCCGATTTTCAGCATTGCAGCATACTTATGTCGTGTGCCCCGAATAATGACGTGAGTAATTATATGAATATCATCTTGGAGTAGAACTAGGTTTTGTGTCGTGGGCTCTCCTACCATATAGGTGGTATCAAAATTGAGAGATTTGACCCAAACATTCTCTGATAGGTGCTTCATTGTCATTGTAGTCGAATCGTCTTGTCACTCGCTCAACCTACGCGAATGATAAATAAAAGTGTGAACATTGACGCACAGAGTTTACAGCATTGCCATTTTTGAAGCCATCTCTTTCTAAATTATAAGAACCTTTGAGAATGAGGATGATTAATGAAATATAGTGATTTATGGATGAAATGTTATGTCGCCTTTTTTTTATATGTCTATGTTTGAAATACATTCCACAATGAACCACAATAACTAGATTGATTCGTCGAATATTTCCTTTATTTTTGCAGTATTTTTGGTGAGGTATCCATTCAATTGAATATTTCATTTCGTAACGAGTACAATGACTACAGTAGGTCCATTGACCTGATGACGTTATTTCATTCCAGACTCTTCAGGCATGGCAATCGAAGACCCTGACTCCAGCAATACCTCAATACTCCTCTACAACCCCGATTTCCCTCTGACAAACTCCACCAATTTCACGGTAATCGAAGACGATTTGAGCAACTGGTGGGCGTTATCTGCTCTAGGCTTGGTCTTGGGGACCGCAGCAGGAAACATCCTAGTGTGTCTGGCAATTTGCTGGGAGAGGAGGCTGCAGAATGTGACCAACTACTTCTTGATGTCGCTGGCAATAACAGATTTGATGGTCGCTATTCTGGTGATGCCGCTTGGTATCTACACTCTGTTCAGGGGTAAGTGACTGAAAACCGTCAGAAAATATACTATACAGTCTGTCCAAGATAAGGTTGAACAGCATGGGGATCTCGGAAACGGTAGGAGATACGAAGTCGCTTAAATGGGGAAAAAGTTGCGCATTCGGAGGCTCATATCAAGAGCCTTCGGAAATTTTGAAAATTGTTTTTAGTTTTTGAGTTATATCGAAAAAAGTGAATTTTTGGAATTTCTATTTTATTTTTTTTCTCCGTTATTATCAGAGATACAGAAAAACTGAAAATACTTTTTCATTGCAACTTTTGATGAGGTTTAATGTGGTGATACCGATTTTTTTATGCGACGTTTCGTATTCGTGGAACCATCATCAACTTTTGTTTTTTGAATACGGTCTTGATAATTTTTTCACAGATTCTGAAAGGTTTTTTTATTCTGAATTCAACAATATACTATACAAGGTGATTCGAATGTGTTTCGACCTATTTCTATCCATCATCAATGTTTTTTCGAACTTCCAAAAGAAAAAAAAAGCCATCAGTTCCACTTATTTTTTATCATTCAGTCTCAAACTTGATGGATTAGTTATTCAATACTGAAAAGTGAATAAAAAATATTTCACTACATCATTCGATCAATGCAGCGTTTAAAATTGTTGATGAATTCTTACACGAATTACTTTAACAACTTAACTTTGACAATACCTACAGAGACATTCATAACAAATGTTCAGAATGATAACCATTATTTTCTGAACAAAGATATCCTCTTCTCACAGTTGTTTCTAAGACATTGCTAAGCATTTCTGGGGTTATTCTATTGAATGCTTCGAAGACACTGTCCCTTAGTTCTTCCTCATCCTCAAAGTTATTTGCGTGTACAAAGTTCGATATATCCCCTAAGAAAAAATCCAGCTGTGTCAAATCAGGCGACCGCGCCGGCCAAGGGATAAAAACGCACGGACTTCTCTGGAATTATGTACCGGAGCGCCATCTTGTTGAAACCAACAGAGTTCTGAACTTCCGCAATCGGTAAATCATCCAGAGCTTTCTCAAGATGATTCTCAAGCGAATTTCTATAACGTTCGGAAGTCTGTGTTTCATGGTAAATAGAAGGAACAATAATTCGTGTACCAAATATTGCAGCCGAAACGGTGTTGGTGTCTCGCTGTAATGTATAAATGTTCATTTTCTCGTGAACAATAATGTGTATTATTTTTATCGAAGCTACCATGATTAGTGACCATGCTTTCATCAGTCCAGATGATTGTTCGAAAGAAATCTGCAAAATTTTAACATTTCCTGGTATACCACTCACAGAATGTCTTGCGCCTTTCGTCATCGCCTGGTTTTAGCGCTTGACATATTCTGAATTTGTATGGATGTAATTTTTGTTTCCGCAAAATGAAATGGGTTGTTGATTGAAACCAGTTGATGTGGTATTAGTGTGTTGACTAATTTTCCTTCAAAATAAGTGGAACTGATGGCATTTTTCCTTTGGAGTTTCAAAAAAACATTGATGATGGCCAAAAATAGGTTGAAACACAAATGAACTACCTTGTATAATACATGGTTGAATTCAGAATAAAAAAACCTTTTAGAATCTGTTGAAAAATTATCAGGACCGTATTCAAAAAACAAAAGTTGATGATGGTTCCACGAATACGAAATGTCGCATGAAAAAATCTACCAGAGTAGATATTTTTGACAATTTATTTGGACATTTCCCATTTTCCTCTTGAATCTTTTTATGAGTTATTTTTTGTTTTCGATGATTTTTTTTTCATCCAAATATGATTTTTATTGCTAGTTGTTCAATTTTATTGCTCATTATACTTCATCGAATGAATCCAGGTGGTTTGATTTCAGTTACCTTCACCTTCCAAATAGAAATGCGAGGTTTTAAACTCGAAATGCGTTTTCACTTTTCGTGACATTCCCCTTTTTTCTCCTGTGGTCTTCATATGCAACAACTTCGTGTTGCAAAATGTATATCTGTCAGTGAGAAAGTTGCCTAAGTCAGTCGAATTATTTTCAATTTCATAGTGAAACTGCAGATGATATTCAAGACACCTACTGACGCAATTTCTTGATGATCTAAGTGAAAACCACCTACCCGGTGAGAATTCATACGATTTTTTTTTTTTCGGTTTGAGAAGAAATCTCATGAATAAACACTCGGAATCTGATACAAAATAGCTGGTCTCGTTATCCATCAACTCAATGAGAGATATTCATGATGGAAAGCACATTATACTGGAGGCAGGCTATTTTAGCTTCAATTCATCTGCACGGGAAACATAACAGATTGCTATTATACATATAATGAGGTATGGCAAAACGAAGATATTAAATAAGCTGTGAGAAGCTTTATCTTGCTTGCAAATCTATTAAATTCAATCTGAACGATGATATAAGTTAAATTTGGTTTGAAATGAGTTCATATGAAGGTTGTCAATATTGATATTCACCTTCCGAGAGTTCGAGAATTATTATTGTCAAAGGAAAAAATTGAGAGGAAAATTCCACTATAATATGGAAGTTCTATTTATTTTGTGATAAAATCTATATTTATAGTATCATAGTAGTGAAAATTATAATATTCACTGAATTTTTATAGTAATTCCATTAAATATAGGGATGTCTGCCATTTTTATAAAGCAATTTACTCAAATTCATAGTAGGAGGAAGAATCTGAAAGAATCATATGATAGCTTTTATTTAACTTGCAATGTATGCATGTATGTTAGTTCGGGTGGAATCAAATCAAATCAATTTGAAGTAGATATCTTCAACCGATTGAGCTGAAATTTTGTATTCGTTCAGTTTGGATGACAAGATGGTGGAATAGTTATTCTTAGTGCACTTCCACAATATAGGTATCGAATGAAAGAGCTCGTTGGGAGTAACTCGAAACATAATGTGATGTCATTCTGACTTCAATATGGCGGATCATCCAAGCTGGCGGAATAGTTATTTTTAATGCACTTCTACAATATTGGTATCAAATGAATGATATACCATCCGTCCATATAGACTTCGGTAAAGACGGTATTCATCTAAATCTGCCGAAGTCTGTGTAATTTCCAGCAAAATATGGTCACGGGAATGATGCCAATTGTATTATGTTGATCTTGTACAGTACACAAAATGCAAGGTAGTACTGTCGACTACGCTGTTATTTACTTAGGCTCGAAGCTCTTCGCTGCTGGCCAAGCATACGTGGCTATGAGTAGGGTGAAATCATTAGAGAGTCTCGTTATTGAAGAACTGGACTGTTCGAAATTAACCGGCAAACGACCTTGCAACAATGATGTGTTGAATGAAATGAACAGCCTGAGAAACCTAGCCAGCGATCGATAACTTAAAATTGGAAACTAAATCAATAGTAAAAAACTTATTGAATATAAAGCTTGTACTTAAACGCTTTGAAAAGAATAAAATGAAATGTTCCTTCATGATTTCAACTAGCAACATTATCAACTCATAACCTCATTGAACACAAATTATATGATTTTACAAAATTGAATTAGAACTAGTTCATTCACAAAAATAAATCGCGCGACGAGCTTTTATGATCATATGAATTGTGTATAATGAGGTTATAAATTGATAGGTATAATTATGAAGAAACTCTTTATTCTATTCATTTAAGAGCATTGAAATAAAAGCTTACTATCAAAAATGATTTTTTACTATTGATCTATTTCACTCCATCTGATATACAGTAGAAATCAATCCGTACATAGTTGAAATGTCCATAATTTATTGTGTTTATTTTTCTTTGCTGTTCAGTGACCAGTGACAAAGTGTATCTTATCAGAGTTGGAAATCAACTATCCAAATGCCTGAAATACACATTATTACTAATAATGATCATCCGATGGCTTGGTTGTAACTGTCACCACCTCTAGCAGTGAAAATGACGATCTACCGATTCGTTTCCCATGGAAAAAGTTCTGAGATAGCGGGAAATGCAGTTAGTCGGGATCGTGAAGCACAAACTTTGGAGTTGGTATCGAAATTGATCAAAATATATACCTATGGACCGTATCGAAAGATAGATGAAATTAGAAGAAGTTTGTCCGAACAATACATGCGTGGGAATTTTGCATTACTTTTTATTATATTTGTATATCTATATATAATATGTTTCTACATTACACTGTTTTACCACTAACCAAATCGATTTTCTAAACGCCTCGACACGTGTGTCGCTAACTTTGTTAGCATCTTCAGGAGGATATTCAGTTTCAATCTTCTCCTGCATAGTTGTTTAATTTCATTCCGAAATATCAGATCCGCATACCTTGCCAAATTCGAATATCTGGAAGATCTGGAAACTTTGACTAAATCTGAAGTCTATACGTTCAGACTTGGTGAACCCACCTCGAATGCGACTGAATTTCGGAAAATATTAGGAATTGATTCTCCAAAACCCGAAAATGTCTTGAAACGATAACTTCAACAATAGTTTCCTTCATTTTTTCAGCTAAATATATATATTATGTTTCTATATTCATGTAAACATGTGCTACATTTTCCTGGAAGCCAATTAAGACCCCTTCGACATGTGGATCCTCCACTGGGCCGTACAACAATTATTTTGGAAGATGATGGGCTTCTCATGTTCCGAAATTTTCAAGTCATCGAGCTATTCGACACGAGTGATATTATTTCGTCCTATGCTGACTGACTTATTTCACTTGAAGTGAATTGAATCAGTTTACATGAATTCTATCTATCTAATCGAAGTCTTCCGAAAGAATGCTTAATGACATATTTTGTTAGTTCAGATTGAAAAAATAACATTATAATCAATATAATGATGAGTTATAAAAGTGCTGCTTCCATATAGTTGAATGATAGGTGCATGCATGAAACAGGGACGTTGTTTACTTCTAGCCACCAATAATGTAATAGTATAATTCTATTCTAATGGTAAAATCCTGTCCTGTGTCCTTCCATGGTGAGTGATATCGCCTTTCCA